CAAGCTGCCTTGGTCATTTGCTTTCCAGTCTGCTGCTGCCACACCAAGCCCTCTGCTGATCCTCCATGACACAGGCAACCACCAGGTTAGTCAATTCATCCTCCCAGGAGATCGTGGGGCAGGAGAGTGATGTGGGTGGTTTACCTTTATCTGGAGGTACAGCACTAGGATCTCTAGGAACACAAGCACCTTGGTCAGGATTACAGAGGGGCTTGAGTCAGAAACATTTACCAGCAAGTTACTTAGCCTCATTGATCATCATCTGTAAAATGGGGTAATAATATAGATGTCATTAAATTGTTGGGCCAATTAACCAGATGGAAAGTAAAGCATGTTATTCAATACCTGGAACTTAATAATAATAACTAGTCCTGTTTTTATTATTTGGGGATTAATTTGGAGTTTGAACATTCATCACCTCAAATGTAGAACATATGTGTAATTTTTATGCAAAAAGTAACTAGAGTTGAGTGACAATTCCTTCCTAGCCACTTGAGCAGTGGTTCTAAAACTCCAGTGCATGGAAGAATCACCCAGTATGCCTATTAAAAATGCAGAGTCCACAACTACCTCCACCACCCACTCCTACCCACGACCATCTGATTTGGTATGTCTAAAAAGAGACCTCTGCACATTTTATAGTAGTGATCTGTTTGTAGGTCTCTCTATAAATTCATCAAGGGAAGAAAATGTACCTTGCTCATATCTGTATTTCCAACTGTTAGCCCATCTCCTGGAACATAGGAGTCACTTAGGAATGTTGCTTGACAGTTCAAAGTGCCTATATGCCCTTGGGAATAGCATCTGGGGCAAGTCTTAGCACAGAACTACAGTTGGAACCTTAATTTTACATCTTATTCTAAGAATGGGTACTGAGGTAGAGCACAACAATATGACTAAATCCATCGAAAGTATTTAGTGCTGGTTATTGGATTAAAGATGGTAGAATAGGAAGGCAAGATGGAAACCTCCTACCAAAAACAAATAAAAGAGGAAAATACAGCAAATGCAACTAGACCTGAAAATTACTTGAAGACTGCAGAACAGCTCCCCTACACCTGTGGAAGAAGAGAGGACCACACATAAAAGGATGAGGAAGCACAGCCAAGGTCAAGCAGGACCCAAGCCCTCTCCCTACAATAGCCTACATGTGGGAGAAAGAAGAATGGAATGGGGACGGTGTAGAAGCTCAGGAGCTCTGCACACCTGGCCCTGGATATCTGCTTTGGGAGCATGAGCCCACATTACACTGGGTTCCAGTGATTATTGGGGCTAGGCACTGTGGGCAGGTGGAACACTTTGGGAGGCTGAGACTCGAACTGGTGTGGAGGGCAGGCACAGTCCTAAAACCCAAAGCAGAGGTGGCAGTCTGAAAGACTTGCCAGCAGTGGGAGCAGTATGAGAGGTGATGAGGGTTGGACAGAACTCTCCCCTCAGGAGAAAGGGCAGGTGGAGTAAATCTCCCCAGCCCTTCCTTCATCCAACAGATCAGGAACTCTCAGGAGCTCCAGACATTCCATTCCCCTTGCTGGCAACACAGTCCCGAGGCACTTCCCTATATGCTGCTGGGAGTCAACCCACTTGGCCCAGAAGCAGCATCATACTTTGCTGCCTGGCAGGTAGAAGGAGACTCTCCCAGCTTGCTTGGCTCCATTTCAGCCCAACCAGAGAGGTCCTTGGGGGAGCCAACCCAAGAGCTCTTTCCTCCCTGTGGGTGTACAAACCTGGTGCTGTACATCCACCTGGAGCACATTGGTCTGACTACCCCATTAACCCTGCAGCCCCACCATTGTTGTAGGCCAGGCAAAGGGCAGTCATGCTCACAGGGAGCTCAACAGATATTCCTGAAATGATCACAAAGACAGCAGCTCAAGCAAACTTCCCACCCAGACTGGGACCACTGCAGAAGCTCAAAAGAAAAGCATCCCACCCATGGAATGCCAACAACTAGGGCCCTTGCAAAATAGAACAAGGCACTAGAGCTTCTGGGCACCTTAGCACATCTTCTTCATAACACTATTACTCTTTAGACCAGAAAGCATAGCAGAGACATTTAATACAAAAGAACAAACACAGAATCCCTGACAAAATGAGCAGGCAGAGTAATTTGATCCAATCAAAACTACAAGACAGAACCCCAGAAAGAGGGCTAATTTAAACAGAGATCACCAGTCTTCTTCATAAAGATTTCAAAATAAACCTGGTCATGGATTTACAGAAAAGTACTCAAAATCTCAGGGAAGACTTCAACAAAGAGATAGAAAATCTGAAAAAGAGCCACTCAGAGCCGAAGAATACAGTACCTGAAATGAAACATACAATGGAGGGATTTAAAAGTAGATTAGAGCTCTTTCCGCCATCTTGGAGCCCCTGGAGTGCTGGGAACAGAACTTAAAAACCAACAACTATGTCTGGAAGGCTGTGGTCCAAGGCTATTTTTGCTGGCTATAAGCGGGGTCTCCGGAACCAGAGGGAGCACACAGCTCTTCTTAAAATTGAAGGTGTTGATGCTCGAGATGAAACTGAATTCTATCTAGGCAAGAGATGTGCTTATGTGTACAAAGCAAAGAACAACACAGTGACTCCTGGCGGCAAACCAAATAAAACCAGAGTAATCTGGGGAAAGGTAACTCGTGCTCATGGAAACAGTGGCATGGTTTGTGCCAAGTTCCAAAGCAACCTTCCTGCTAAGGCCATTGGACACAGAATCCGTGTGATGCTGTACCCTTCAAGGATTTAAACTTAATGAGAAGTAAA